TGATCGGCAAATGATCGGCAAATGATCGGCAAAATGATCAACAAATGTGATAATATGAAGTATGTCCACCCTGCTGTGTATATATATATAATAAATAAATGAGAAAAAAAAATAAAATATTTTTCGGTGTGAAATTTTACATTTTGTTTATTTACTAATACATTCAATACATTGCTTTTTTGGGATCTGCGATACAAATTAAACACACCAATCAGCATCGGCCCGAGCAATGGGTGAATAGATAACGAGACATTTATGTATCACCATATGAACAATCAAATGATTATTATATATAGCTTTAATGTTTTAATGTTAAAATATTATATAGCATTTTATTTTTAATTAACTTTAGTATTGATAGATTATATAGGATTTTTGCAAAAGAAAAGGGAAAAACTGCTAGAAAAATTAATTTTACTTTTATATGTCAAAAATGATTTTTAGTTTAAATTTAACATTTAATTTATTTTTTATTTTTTTACAGTATTTTTTTCCTTTTTATTGCAAAGATATTAATCTATCTATCTGAAATAATATTAGGGAAAAAGACATATAATAATTAGAAAATTATTTATGTGTAATTTCAGATTAAAATTAGATTTCTAAATAACTTTTTTCAGGTAAAAAAGTGAATATAATATATAGGAATACTATAGCTTATTATATATAGTAATTTACTTAATTTACTTATTATAAGTTTAGACTGACATTTGAGTTTTCAATCAACTTTCTATTTATATAATTTTCAGCTTATTTAAAAAATATATTACTAAGATATCACCAATTTGAAAGTAAATATGCAGGTTATAAACTTTTAACAATTCATTCTGTAAGATTGATAATTAGAGAATAAATTCATTAACAAAGATTTATGATTTATCAATTTTTTTATTTTTTTGTTATAAATTGTTATTTATTATTAAAACTATTATCATTTTCACTCTCCTCTATTTTATCTTTTTCATTTGCTACATTTGTGTATATCTGATTGAATCATTTTCAGGATATTTTCTGTAATGATTAACAAGATTTTCTTTTAATTTTTGAGGAATTCTATTCTTCTAAAAGTTAAAATAATAATCATAAGTAACTTTAAAATGTCATTTATTTCCATGAGTCATATGACTATTCTAAATATTAGAAAATAGCCTCCTGATATTTTTATTATTATGTTGCAAATATTTGATAAATCCTAAAACTAACTAAATCCTGAAATCCAATCTGATTTATAAATTTTTAAATCAATTTAATTAATTTATTGGATCAATGATCGATCAATTAAAAAATATTTATTATCAAAAAGTTAGAGAAGTAGTGATTGAATTAAGTAATGAAATTAGCAAATTAGTATTTAAAATATGATCAGAAAATTAGCGATTAAAACTAAAAAGCTTTATTTTATATTAATATACTGTACTAATTAGATTTATAATCTAGATATTACGTTATAATAGTATTTTGTAATTTGTATTCGTAAAAGAATAGCTCTAGCAAAACTTTAAAATAATAATTACATTATATAGAATATAAAATTTATTATTTGATTTAGGTATATGGGAGAAACTGCTAGAAAAATAAAAAATTAGTTAATGCTAAATTTGATTTGATTTTTCCCACCTTTCTATTGCTCATAATGGAAATTCTGTGTTATGTCACGTGTTATTCCAATTTTCAATTTAAACGATATAATCTTAATTTCTCGTTGAATTTTTCTTAAAAAATGTCTTCACCGATAATAAATTCCCCAAACGGACAATTCAACTTTGCAGCTAATTCGAGTCCAGACGTAATAGGAGAGCGATGTAATGTTATAGAGCGTAAAGCTAAAGCATATTTTACTAAAGTTGAAGTAGCCCATTGTGCAGAAAAGCAAGGATCAAGTGAAACAAAAGACATGTCAAGAGCACAATGGTGTACTTTTATAGAGGCTGTGGGAAATAATCTTGGGTTGTAAGTTGAACATTAATTCAGAAGGAAATGCTTGAACCTTTTCTTTCCAGTACGATGGACTTGACTCACGTGATTATCTATAATTTAAAGACCACAGAGCACGATATGCACAGCACAATTACTTTATAATAGATTCTTTTTATTTCATCCTACAAAAGACTTTGCATCTACAAAGCAAAAAACTGTAACATCGCTTTTTTTTTTTGATTCCTTATTCTTTATTTTATTTTTGGTTGGGTGTTTAATGATTATATCATTGAAATAGGATTTATGTATCACATGTTTATTTGTTTCTACAAAAATTGAGGAAACCTATAAAAAACTCAAAGACATTTTGGTAGCAGCATATCAAGTTAAACACCCTGAGGGAACTGAAATCAATGCAGAGAGTCAGGTACATTTAACAAGAAAATCCAGCAATTCATTTATGTTTTAATGAGAGATTGAATTATGGTATTTTTTTAAATTAGATGTTAGAAGAACAAAGGCGTCGCATTATACAAAATGAACGCGCGATAGTCGAAACAATATGTTTCGATTTCCAATTCGTACTTCCTCATAAATTGCTGGTCAAATTCGTTAAGAAACTAAAAGGTATTCTCTTTAATTCATCATTGATTTTTATTTTTATTTATTTTTTTTAAAATCTTTACATTTATACATTGTAAATATAGGTGATAAATATTTATATCTTAAAGCATACAATATAGTCAATGAATGGTAAAAAGAATTTATATATTAGAAATTTGTATTTTTTTTATTAAGGTTAACAGTTTTGAATGACAAAAAAAAAATGTTCAAGTTATAAAACTACGGTATGTCTTAGGTTTCCGCCTGCTACCATAGCAGCGGCTTCAATTTTTATCGCTGCGAAATTATTGCACCGAGAAAATTTTCCGTCCATAGTTCACAATATACCTTGGTACAAGATATTTTTGGCTAGAATTGACGATATCGAAGGTAAATAAATCAGTATAGCTTTTATTATCAGTACAAAACGAAATATTCATTATCAATCATTGTCGATGTTATAGAAATATGTTGCCTTATTTTGGATCACTTCATATTAGAATCATCATCAAACCCCGATGATCCGGCTAATGAGGAATTTACGCAATTGAAATTAGCTATAAGTCAGCAAGCTAAAGAAAGAGACGCATCAATGGAAGACGTAATCATGAATAGAATAGATATGGAATCTAGTAAGAAATTAGATTAAACATTCTTTTTGAGTCGCTTGATGAACATTTGTCTAAAAGATTCGATTTTTTTTATCAGATGATAATTCCTTTCAGATGATCAATGGGGAATCAAAAGATCATACTGTCCGGTATATGTTTGCAACAATACCAGAAATACATTTTGTTTGAATATCTATTTCTAATAGATAAATACGAAATCGAACGAGGAAACGACGATCATCAAAAGACGAACACGTGGTTATTTATGAGAAAAGGTAAATTATATTTTATTTTATATATTTAATTATAATAAAGATAAAATTTTGTCTTTATTTTATTATTATTATTTTTTTTTGCAGGTATAATAATGTATGAATAAGTATTGTTATAATATAATTGATTGATACGAAGAAAGTAAGAGATGGGAATTTTATATAAATTGTCCTCTTATTTGTAAATAAAAAATTTAGAATGAATAAATAAATAATATATATAAAATGATTATCTTGTACATATTCAAACAAGCACTTTTAATTTATTTATTAGTCAAATACAAAGAAACTCATTCTGAACCAGTCTTAACGTGTTTTAAAATAATCTAAAAGTACGTTCCTAGCTTCAGAATCTTCACCATAATCTTTGACAACTACGCAAGAACAAGCAACTACTTTACGAGGATTACCTTCTCTATCGATTTTACATAATCCAGCCCATTCTCCTAATTTTTTTGCATCACTTACTTTTATTAATTGAATATTATGTTCACTACATAATGCTTCGACTAATTTAATATATTCTTTTTCCGTACAAGTTTCAACAAGGACGCACAAGAAAGCTTGACGCCTGTAATGTCACATGAAAAAGGATTTGAAATTTTTTTTTTTAAAAAAAAATATTTGATTTTCGACTTTACCTGTCAAGAGCCTTGGCGCACTCTCTCAATCCTCGAGCAAGACCATCAAAAACAAGTGCACGCTTTAAAACGTCCTGAAGAGCTTCTTCAACAGTCTTTAATTGAAGGAAAAGGTTAAAATTAAATAAAAATTAAAGAGATATTAATCTAATAATATATATCTATAATATCCTACCATTTGACCTTTAGAAGGAACGGTATCAGGAGAAACATGAATTTCTTCTTCTTGTTGTTGTTCTTCACCACCTCCATTTTCCGTATCATCATCTCGGTCTTCGTCTACCATGGGTGGCATTTTTCTAGTATTTTTTTCTGAATTATTTTTTTTTTTTTTTTTGACAGGTATCTACTTAGACGTCCTCACTTTTTTTAAGATTAATTCGTATAAATAAATAAGGTTCAAAATTTTGTTTTTTAAAAAAAGATTTAAAGAATAATTACTTACATGATGATTTTTTTCTCTTTTTAAACGAGGTAACAGATGATGGATTTATAAAAAAAATTTAAAGGGAGGAACAATTTAGATCTTGCGATCAGTGTATTTATATATTCACATGAGAAAACGATTTCATCATGTGATATCCTAAAACCTACTGCGGATGATGAAATAATTTTGCCGATTTAAATTATAAGCAAAAGGGAGTTCGAAGAAGGAAAGGTAGAGGCTGAACGAGCTTAAAGGGAAATTAAGGAGTATTGGACGAAGAAAATAAGGGGACAATTATGTGTGTGGAGGAAAGCACTACTTGATAATATTAATAAGAAAAAGGTAATGAAACAAATTTCATAAAAAAATATACAAAAAATTATTTCCCATTTCGTTTATTTATCTATTTATATATACTGCTTCTAACTTTAATTATTATTTTTTTTATCCTTTTCTCTTCATAACCTATATAATTTTTTATAATTATAATTGATGATTTAAAGGAAGAGAAGTTGAGGATAAAGAATTATATAAAGATTCAGGTTTATCTTCAATAACATTTGATCTTTAATATTGTTTCAATTGTTGTCACTAACTGATATTTTATATAAGTCCGAATCGTACTCCAAATTGATTTCAAGGACCATGTCAACTATATGTCATTTTTAAAGGATCAATTAAGCAAAATTTCCAATTCTAATCGTTTGGAGAAAATTACTTATGTTCCATCATCAGGACAGCTTGCAAATCTCACCCTTTAATATACATGTTTTCGTGATAATGCTTCTTCAGCAACACCAAAGTGTGATTTATGTTAAAAGAAATTAAAGAAGCAACAAATATAGACATTTCAGAAGAAGTAGCAAGGATATGAATGATATTGATATTTTATCAAATGAATTGGAAAATAAGTCTTCAGAATTATTGACAAATACTGTAAGATAATCTATTTTTTTTAAAAAAAAGAAAAATTCAGGCAAATAATTTCTGGAACAACGTTCGTTCAACTAAAAGTATTTTAAAATCGAATTTGTATGCCCAAAACATTGGTTCTATAATTTTAAAGAAAATCGCTATTTTCTTTGATGAATCTTCACCCTTCAAGGTATATGTAACAAAACAGTTATAATTATTATAGTCTAACTATATGAAAACAACTGTCACAGAACTCAATATCCACTTTAAAATTCTTTGCTCTTACTGTACGTCTCCCTTGCTTTGGATCAAAAGATTTTTCTGTTGGTCAAGCTTATATTACCTTTAGCAGATGTCTCTAACGCCGAAATATCTTATCTTAACAAATTAGCATTCATGACGGATTAAGATATGATTTTAGAATACAAAATAAAAAAAATAACAATTATAAATGTTATCAATCAAATCAATTAAAAAGAAAATAAAAAAAATTCCCTGTCAAATCAATTATTTACAAAAAAAAAAAAAATAAAAAAAATAAAGATTTCAATTTTTATTTATCATGATTTTCTTCGATACTGAAAAAAAAAATTAGTTATTTACATGTAAATAAGCTTGTTTTTTAAATTATTAAAAAAAAACTTTTAATTTTATTTATTATATATAGAAGGTTTGCTAGGAAAATGGACTCTGAAAATTTTTATTAAAATTTTAATTTTATTTTTGATGTTAGATCAACATGAATTTTAATAAAAAATGCTTAGAGTCCCATTTTCCTAGCAAACCTCTCATATGGGGTGAGTGCTGGGAAATCAACAAAAAAAATTTTTTTTGAAATAACAAATAATCTGAATCGGGTGACCAGATCTACATCTATTTTATTTAGGAACTTTTTTTTTAAATAAAAATCAATTTGATCTATTTTCCCAGTACTCACCCCATATTATCATTAAAATTTTATTAAGAAAATCTATTATAAATCACTAAATTATAATATTATTAACAATTTTTTTTAAAAGAACATATTTTTAAGATTTCAATAGTTAAAATTATAAGTTTAGCATTTTTAGTTAATAAACTATAAACTTTTAAAGCTAAAAACTTAATGGTTATATTTCTTTTGTTTGCTATTATATAAATAATATATTTGATATATATAATAATCAATTATTACTAATATATTTATATTTAAAATATCAAATATATTAAATATTTTGATTAGTGATATTTACCTAAATACTTTTTTGAAAAATTGTAATTTTATCAAAAGGATTTGTCTCTTTAATATTTTTTTATAAATAAATATAAAACTTTATATTTTTAATATATTTTAATTCAAGGAATTCAAATAAAGTTAAATATAATTTTGGCAATTAAGTAAAATAGTTTTATCATTTATAAAGTAAGTCATTTCAGTTTTATCAGTTTCATTATATTAAGAAAGGTAGTTTAGTTTGATCAGGTATCACTAAGGTTACTGGACGAAATCAAGAGTTTAGACAGACGTCTAAATGGTAAAAGTAAAACTTGGTTAAATTATATTAAA